CTATAAATACATGCAAAAGTGAAAGGAAGCAGGAATACATGGTCAGTATTCATTTGGCTTTCCAAATTTAGACATAGCTTTTGTTAACCCAATTTAAGTACACTGTATTAGCGTAGATATTTTTGGGAACGCGAGTTAAATTTCAAAGTTTTTGCTTGGAAAAGGTTTGAATGTGTCAACTTGGCTTAATACAGTAGAAATTCCCAGTCATTAAACTTTTATTTAATCCCCCAGAAACCTGGTTATCCAGGATGTGTAAAAACATTGCTATTTTTTAACTTTATTACCCTCTGGGTAAAGAACTCGCAGTACGAATGAAAAGCACGTAGATTAGTACAATATTCTAAACCCCGAAAGTATAGGAAACGTCATAAAAACCTTAATAAGCTAAAGAAGGGACAAATAATGCAATTAATCAACTCCAAAAAGAAGAAGTAATGGAGTGCTAGTAAACGCCCATAATTCAAAAAGGATGTGTTCCTCCGATACGAGCCAAAGTGCTAAGAAGTGCGAGATACTAATCCTAGTGTATGAGGGCATTAGTGATTGGGATTTCGTCTACTTATTCAGAAACACAAGGATCTGCTTACTGAAAAGTTGAATTTTTTGATAATTTTTTTTCAAGCAGTAAACATGGCTTTGTTTCAAGGAAGACGTACATTAGCGCAAGCTGCAATGAAAAAAGACAATAGAAACATTGGATAAAAAGGAGAACGGAAAATCAGAAAAGCGCATTGAGCTTTCTTCTCAATTCGTAACTGGGCAAGAAAAATTAGTCAACACACGAAGCTTAGTACATAGAAGTGTGAGATCTTCGAATGTTGCCCACTCGAGCTATGTTCCTAAAATATTCGTAAGAATTCTTTGCGGTTTTTTTCTAATTATACTGATGTCCCTCATGTCAGTAATCATTTCTATAAAAAGTCACGAAGAAGCTTCGAAAAAGAACTTTTCCCATTTTGTTTGGGAAAACCTTAGATATTCTGTCTGAAGGAATGAAAAGCAACAGCGGAGAAATTAGATAGAAAAGTAAAGCAATTTACATTTGCAGGAATTTTCAAAAGGACTTATGAGTCAATCACGAAAAGTCTTTGCATTTGGTGTTACCTAAGCCATGAAATACCAAGATTTTCCCAAATCCAGATGTAGAAATTAATGTTTGCCTACCAATAGCTTTCTAGTCTATGCAGGAGGTTAGAAAAGCACCCAACTGTTCTGACTCATATTTCATCACTAATTTGTATTCATCGAATTGAAGCCCTAATAGAACTTTTTTCAATATTATATAGTGATTTTCATATATAGCAAAGCACTCAAATCTAGACTAGTCCGAAAGTGAGAAGTAACGCGTTGTAACTCAAAATATATGTTGTGTCAGGCTACTAACTTTGATCTGCTCTGGTTTTCCATGAAGAAAAAATCACGGAAGGGAGGATTGTCCTAGT